TTCGGCCTGAGTCAGATCAAGCCGACCGGCGAGGAAGGCCCGCATCGTGAACTCGCCAGGCTGGGCAAGTCGTGCGCCCTGTTGTCTGAGTTGCGCCAGGATAAGATCGGCAATCGGTCGACTGCCGAGCAAGTGAATTTCAACTTGTGGTTGCCGCGTATAGCTTCGATCCGTAGGCCAAATCCAGAAGTCGGCGGTCACGATCCGGTCGCCAGGAAGCTTGATGCCGGAGGTGATTCGTCTCGCCGATTTCGACGGCACCGTTTCGACCGGCTCGGCGATTGCCAACGCGGTCGTTACGGCATCGCGGCCGCTTAGGCGAATGATCGATCTCGCCCCAATGCCTGGGGCGGACGAGATGGCGACAATCGTTTGTTCGAGGTCCATGGCCATAGGGCTCAAGGATCTCCTTCATGCGTCGAAGCTATTTCTTCTTTTTCGCTTGGCGAATTCGAGGTTGTTTAACCTCTTCCTTTTTCGCCTCAACGACGACCGGCATATTCTTCGGCTTAGGGAGCAGCTTACGCTCGACAATGCCCCAGATGCTGGACGTGATGAAGTAAATACAAAGCCCCGATGGAACTTTGAAGAACATAACGCCCATGAAAATCATCATGATAGTCATGATGCGCTGCTGCATTGCCTGCTGTTCGTCTTGCGGCGGAGGCATGAACAACTTCTGCTGCACGAGGAACAGCGCCACGGTGACCAGCGGCAGAATGTTCAAGTAAGGGCCAAGGCTTGGGAAGCCGGTAGGACGCGACAGAAATTCTGGCATCCAATCGCCCCAATACAGCAATTGATCAGGGGCCGCCAGGTTCGAGCACCAAGAGATGCCTGGAATCAGCGGAGCTTGACGCAGTTCAAAGTCGACTGCCAAGGCGCGGTAAAGCCCGAGGAAGATCGGAAGCTGGATGAACATCATCAAGCACCCACCCACCGGGTTGAAGTTGTGCTTCTTGAACAGATCCTGCTGAGCTTTGAGGCGTCCTTCGGGATCGTCTTTGTATTGATCGCTGATCCGTTTGATTTCAGGAGCGAGGGCCTGTTGGATCTGCATGTTCTTAGCTTGCTTACGGCTGATCGGATGCATCGCACCACGAACCATCAGCGTCAGCACGATAATCGCCAGACCATAGTTTTGCAGCACAGAATGAAGTGCGTGCAAGACAATCAGCAGGACTGAAGAGACCGGGCTGAACCAGCCGTAATACTCGACTTTTCCTAAGCCGTAATGCTGCAGCACTTCGGTCGTCTTGGGGCCGGCGAAGATACGGAAGTTTTGTGAGACGGCCTGACCGCCACCGATAGGATAGGCTCGAC